GTGCTGAGCTTAGCGGGTCCAGCGGTGCCCCCTGCGTTGGGCTGCAGCTCCCGGAGGCAGAGCCTCGTCGTTCTCCTCCTCCTCCTCTTCTTCCTCCTCCTCCTCCTCTTCTTCTTCCTCCCGCTCGGCTCCTCACTGCAGCCCGGCCAGACAATGCTGTCATTGCCAGAACAGGGGAGGGGGATAAAAAAAATAAATAAATAAAAGCTTCCTTGAGAAAGGGATTAACCCTTCAGGGGCCGGTGGTGTCTGGGGAGGGGGGTGGTGGGAGAGAGCTCCCGAGGGAGAAAATCTCATTATTATTATTGTTATTAAAAGGGTGATGGGGTGATCCTTATGGGGCAGAGAGGTGTTTGGAGTCTCTGGCTCAACCTGAGCTCTGAGCATGGAGGTGGGATCGCCCTGTGCCTCAGTATCCCCATTCTGCCCATGGGCTTAACCAGCCTGCAGCCACCATCTCTGTGCTGGTGACAGTAGGGACCCCAACTCTATGGGGCTGGGAGCCCCTCGCCGTGACAGCGAGCTGGATTCATTCCTAGGATGGGTGATTGTTTTTCCTTTTGGTGGAAAAGGCTGAAAAAAAGGAAGGAAAAAAGACAACGTGCTACGACAACAGCTCTGCTTGCAGGCACCATAGGGCCCTATGGGTGCTGCATCCCTGTCCCCAGTGTTGTCACCACGTGGGGTCCCGGTGGCCACAAGATGGGGACGGATAATTGCAGCCAGCATTTGAACACAGCGATGCTCCCACGTGGGGCCAAGGCAAAAGGATCTCATCTTGGTGGCAGTGGGGACATCAGTGGCTTTTTGGCACCGGTTGGTGGCTTCAGGGAGGAGGACAGTGGAGCCACGTGATGGTCTCTGGGTTTCTTCCCAGTGCCTTTCCCCTTGGTGTGCAGCGTCCCCAGGTGACCTTGGCGTGTCCTTGTCCCCAGTGTTGTCCTTGTCTCCATCGTCCTCACCCCTGTCCTGGTGTCACTGAGGGATGGGGATGTGCCCGGTGGATGGGGCATGGAGGTGGCCCTGGAAGGTGGACATGGGGACGTGGTCCCCTGCCATGATGGCTGTCCCCATGAGCCTACCAGAAGCAGCCGGAGAGATGTCACACACCGAGCGACATGCTCCACGGATGGCTTCCCTACGGACATGAGACTTTTGTAGCCTCCAAAACACTGCTGGATCAGCCCTGCTCCCCACCCACACCAACTGTCTCCAAATGAGACAAGGGAGCCACCAAGGCTCACCTCCAGTTTCTTTGCAAGCCCCAACGCTGCCATCGGGTGGTGGCAGTGGGATGGCCTCACCAGGACAGTGGGATGGCTTTGCACTGGGACCAGCCTCATCGAGATGGTGGCATCAGGATGGCCTCACTGAGGTGGTGACATTGGGCTGGCACCAGGACTTGCTGCATGGCCTCACCGTGGTGGCACCAGGATTGACCTCACCAGGAGGACATTAAGACTGGCTTCTCTTGATGGTGGCACTGGGATGGCCTCGACGTGTGATGGCACCAGGATTAGCCTTGCTGGGATGGCACTGGGATGGCCTTACTGGAACCAATATGAGACCCCACTGGGACGGCTCCTCCTCGTGACAGTGGCACTGGGATGGCCTCACCGAGAGGATGCTGGGACTGGTTTTGCTCAGATGGCACTGGGATGGTTCCCCAGCACTGGTGACCTGTCCCTGTCCCTTCTGCTTCCTCCACCCCTGTGATGAAGGCATCACTGAGACTGGAACGGGGCAAACCAGGAAGGATGAGGGTGGTGGAGGGAAGGGGCCGTGCTCAGCCTTTATGAGACATCAGAGATGCCACCCCACGGGGGCAGCGTGGGGGCTCTGCCCGAGGCTCGGGATCTCACCACTGCCTTCCCCTCTTGCAGAGCTCCTACCCCATCTGGGAGGACTTCAACTCGAAGGCCACCAAGCTGCACTCCCAGCTCAGGTGAGTGGTCGGGGCGATGCCACCAGCACCCTGCTGGCAGTGTCCCCATACCCACGGGGTGACAGCAGCACTGAACTCGGTGTCCCCTCTCCCTGCAGGACCACGGTGCTGGCTGCAGTTGCCTTCCTGGATGCCTTCCAGAAAGTGGCTGACATGGCCACCAACACTCGAGGTAGGGTCCCCCTGCGGGGTGTGTCCCCGGATAGGATTTCCCCATGCTGTGGAGCATCTCCCAGTGTGACAAATTGCACATCTCTCCTCCCTGTGAGATGTGGGGCCATGGGGTCCCCCCCGAGCGCTGTGTCCCTGCGCAGGCGCCGCGTGTCACCGCTTGGTTGTGCCAAGCAGATGGTCCGGGGCTGTTTTGCAGACTGGCGGCATCCAGGACCATCTGGAGCCGTGCGGGAGGAGGAGGAGGAGGAGGAGGAAGGCAGCAGCTTGAGCCACAAGCAGATTTGTCTCCAAACCCAGTGGCCCACTGCACTGGGGGGATTAGAGCACTGGGGGATGGCAGGGAGACACCTGGCTCTGGGCAGGGGACAAAGTTTGGGGCAACCCCGCTGCGCTGGGATGAAGGCTGTAATGCCCCCACTGGTGGCTGAGGACGTGGGGCTGGAGGTGTCCCTGCCCGTGGGGGTGTGGAATCGGATTAGGGGCAGGAGGAGCGCTGGGAGGAGGAGGATTAAGGGATGCCCTGCGTGTGGGGGCTGAGGGCTGTGCTGGGGGCTCTGCGGAATCCCTGGCTGCCTGGGGGGCACCGCTTGGGGCTTTTGGGGAACAGAGTCCCCGGCCTGCGGGATGGGATCGCTGATGGCCACCGGGTCCCGGGGTTTGCAGCAGTGCCACCGCGTGGCCGTCCTTAGGCTTCAGAGTGAACGCGTCCCACCCATCAGCCCGGGGACAAATTAGGGGCGAGTTCGCAGAGCCGCCCGCTGCTGAGTTAATGATCGAGGGGCCGGCCAGCCATTCATCTAGCGGGTTTAGCCTGGGAAAACGCCGCCCACCTCCCGGTGCCCAAACGGGGCCGTCCCCATCCCTGCGCTCAGCGGGGTCCCGTTCTCCCCCAGGGGCCACGAGGGACATCGGCTCCGCGCTGACCCGTATGTGCATGCGGCACCGCAGCATCGAGGCCAAGCTCCGGCAGTTCACCAAGTAGGTGCCGGCATCGGGGGTGTGAGGAGGCCGGGATCAGCTCCCCCCCCCCCCCCCCCCCTCCAACTCCATCTCTTTTTTTCTTGTTTCCCCCCATCCCAGTGCCCTGATGGAGAGCCTGATCAACCCTTTGCAGGATAGAATTGAGGACTGGAAGAAAACTGCCAACCAGTTGGACAAGGACCACGCAAAAGGTTGGGATGGGATGGCGTGGTGTGGGATGAGACAAGAGGGATGAATGAGTTGGGATGGGGGATAGAATGAAATGGGATGGGATGGAATAGAATGGGATAGGACATAATGGGATGGCATGCTGGGAAGGGATGGGATGAAATGGGATGTGACAGAATGGAATAGGATGGGATGGAAGGGAATAGGATGGGATGGAAGGGAAGGGAATAGGATAGGATGGGATAGAAGGGAAGGGAATAGGATGGGATGGAAGGGAAGGGAATAGGATGGGATGGAAGGGAAGGGAATAGGGTGGGGTGGAAGGGAAGGGAATAGGGTGGGGTGGGATGGGATGGAATGGAATAGGGTGGGGTGGGATGGGATGGAATAGGATGGAATGGAATAGGATGGGATGGAATAGAATAGGATGTGATGGGAGGGAATGGTATAAGATGGAATGGAATGGGAAGTGATGGGATGGGATAGGATGGAAAGAAATAGAATGGAATAGGATGGAATGAAATGGAATGATGGACTGGGATAGGATGGAATGGAATGGGATGTGATGGGATGGGATAGGATGGAATGGGACGTGATGGGATGGGATAGGATGAAAGGGAATGGAATTAAATGGATTGGGACATGACGGGATGAGATAGGATGGAAGGGAAGGAGAGATGATGGGCTGGGATGAACTGGGATGGGAAGAAATGAAATGGAGTTGAATAGGATGTGATGAGAAGGCATGGGACAAGATGGGATGGAATAGAATGGAATGGGAGGGCATTGGGACAAGATGGGATGGGATGGGATAGGATTAAATGGAATGAAATGGGGTGGGAGAGGGTGGAATGGAATAGAATGGACATAACGGGGTGGAATGGAATGAGACATGACAAGATGGGATTGGATGGGGCTGGACAGGACAGATCTGTGCCAAGAGGGATGCTCGGGTCCCACCCCATCACAGTGCCCTGTGCCCACAGAGTACAAGCGAGCTCGCCATGAGATCAAGAAGAAATCCTCTGACACGCTCAAGCTGCAGAAGAAGGCTCGTAAGGGTCAGCTGGGTGAGGGTTTGGGGTGGGGGTGCGGGGGGACCTTGGCTGTCGTTTCACACGTTCTCTCTCTGTCTCCTTCTCTTTTCCTTCCCTCCACATCCTTCCCGCAGAGCTGCTGGGTAAGTGAAGCGCTGCCCCCACCCCGGCCCCTCTCTGCTTCCTTATCTGTGTCTCCCATTGGGACTGGGTGAAGCCAAACCCTACCCCATCCCCAGGTTTCCCCCTTTGCTGAGGGCTGTCCGTCTGTCTGTCCGTCTGTCCGTCCGTCCATCCATCCATCTGTCCAGCCCTGCTTTTAGCCTAGCTCAGCTCACGGCCCCTCGGTGACATCCCCATCCGTGGGGACAGTACCCCACCCATCCGCAGCTCAACAGGGGCTCATCCATGGGGATATGGGGCTGATGTCACCGCATCCCCCGCAGGGAAAGGGGACCTGCAGCCCCAGCTGGACAACGCGCTGCAGGACGTCAATGACATGTACCTGCTGCTGGAGGAGACAGAGAAGCAGGCGGTGCGCAAGGCGCTCATCGAGGAGCGGGGCCGCTTCTGCACCTTCATCACCTTCCTGCAGCCCGTGGTGGTGAGTCCTGGGGTCCCACAGGGGTTCTGGGGTCCCCACGTCACCTGGGAGGCTGACGCTGTCTTGCTTGTCCGGCTGCAGAACGGGGAGCTCACCATGCTGGGGGAGATCACTCACTTGCAGGGCATCATTGACGACCTGGTGGTGCTCACCGCCGAGCCCCACAAGCTGCCCCCCGCCAGCGAGCAGGTCAGTGTGTGGGGTACTTGGGATTATGGGGGGTGAGTGCCACCTGGGGGGCTCCAACCCCTCCTTGCCGCAGGTGATCAAGGACCTGAAGGGCTCTGACTACAGTTGGTCCTACCAGACCCCTCCATCGTCGCCCAGCAGCTCCAGCTCCCGCAAATCGAGCATGTGCAGGTGCGTCGTTCACCCTGGAGACAAATGGTGGCCCTCGGGTGCCCAGCAGCAGAGAGGAATTGGTCTAGGGGCAGATAGAAGGATGGTGATGGGGCAGTAGCGGTGGGGATATGGTGATATGGGGATGGGTTGGGTGGCCAATTGCACGCCCCCTCCCTGGGTTTTGGGGAAGGTGTAGGGTGCATGGGGCTCACCAGCATGTCCCCTGTCCCCATCCCTGGGGTGACACCCTCGTTCCTCGTTTCCCCAGCCATGCTTTGTCCCTGCCTGGGATGATGGGGATGCACTGCTTGCGCTGTCCCCATGGACACACATGCCAAACCTGTGTCTCAAACTGTCCTTTCCTTCCTTTGTCCTCCTGCTGCCCCTCGCCCCGCGTCCCGCGTGCCCCCCCAGCAGTGTCAGCAGTGCCAAGGGTGGCCTCCCGTGGCCCGGGGGGGCTCAGACCTGCTCACCCAGCTCCACCTATCGCTACCGCAGCCTGGCCCAGCCGGCCAGCGCCGGCACACGCCTCTCCAGCGTCTCCTCGCACGACTCCGGCTTCATCTCCCAGGATGCTGCCTACTCCAAACCGCCTTCCCCGATGCCCTCAGACATCACCAGCCAGGTACAGTGGGCACGGAAGGGGACGGAGCTCCTGGGCCTCAGTTTTCCCATCTGTAGAATGGGCACAGCGCACCAGTTCTCAGCCCCATATCGAGAAAACAGACTGTTTCCAAATTGCCTCAACCTTTTAATGAGCCAATTGATGGCATCCCCAGAAAAGTGCTTTCCCCTCACCTTGCAACTTCCCTGGTACCAAGGATGCTCCAGGGCCCCAGGGTGGTGCTGATGTTGCCAGAGGTGCAGCTGTATGGCATCAGCTCACCGGCTCTGTTCTCTCCTCCTGCACTCTCTGCTGTTCCTGGACTGTGGGACATGGCAGAAGTCCTCCAGCTCAGCATCCTCAGAGGCCTCAGAGACATGCCAGTCGGTCAGCGAGTGCAGCTCCCCCACCTCGGTGAGTCCTCACTCTCTCAGAGCAAAACGGTGGTGACTTCATCATCCTCCTCTTCCTCTCCTCCCCAAGAGGTGTTCCCCCATAGGGCAGAGCATCCCAGGCTGGTGCCACCCCCAGCTTGAAGGATGAAGTGCCAAAAAGATCCCCAAACTTACGCCTCCTTATTCCCCACACCCCGTTTCCCCCAGATCACCACTGTTGCCTTGTTGTTTGCAGGATTGGTCCAAGGCCAGCCCCTATGACCAGCCCGTGGTCAGCACCCTACAGCGGCGAAAGGACCGCGTGGAGCACCTGCGGGAAGCTGAGATGGGCTCAGCCAGCAGCGTGTACCCGACCATGGGCAGCGAGGATGCTCCCAGACCCCGAATGTCACCGGCCACCATTGCAGCCAAGGTAGTGGCTGTGGGGATGGGTGGTGGGGTCCAAGGGATCCCTTAGGGTGCTGACAATCCTTGTCCCCACAGCATGGCGAGGAGGTTTCCCCCGCCGCCAGCGACCTGGCCATGGTGCTGACACGGGGGCTGAGCCTGGAGCACCAGAAGAGCAGCCGGGACTCACTGCAGTATTCCAGTGGCTACAGCACACAGACCACCACCCCATCCTGCTCCGAGGACACCATCCCTTCCCAAGGTACTCAATGGGGCATCCCACAGAGGGCGGGAGGGGACGGAGACAGCTTTCCATGGCACCGCTGACACCTGTGGGCACCAAGCTGATGCTTTTTCCATGTTTCATACACCCACGGCAGTAGCCCTGTTCCCATCCATCCAGTCACTCCACTCTCATTGCAAAGCATTTCACATTTTCCAAGTGCGTGTGTGTCAATCCCACTGGCCCTGCATGGGACGGGGTGTTTTGGTTGTGTTGAAGGATTGGGGTGCGTTGTGTTGTCATTGGGATTACAGCCTGGAGTGGGATGCTGTGGGCTGGTGGCCACAGTGGAGAACTGCTGGCGTAGGATCAGGCTGTGGCTGTGAGTTTAGGGCCGGTGCTGGGCAAACTGGGATGTGCATGTTGGGATCTCGGTGTGTGCAGTGTCATGGCACTCAGTAAAGGAAACAACACTGAGCATTGTGTGGGGGTGATGGTGGTGATGATGGCCAGTGGATGGCGCAAAGCGGTGTGGTGAGAGGCTGAGGAACCACTGAGACAGTTGGGGTTGGGGTTGGGTTGTCTGCGAGTGTGTTGTGATGATAATGATTGGGGTGGCTGTGGTGGCATTGCAGTGGGGATGCTTGGTTTTAGCTTTGGTTGTGGGATGGTTGAGCCCAATTGTGATTACAAACTCAGCTGTGACCATCACATTTTGGTGGAGATGGTTGGGCCTGGTTGCGGTCAAGTTGCGATGGTTGAATTTGCAGTTATGGGATGGCAATGGCTAGGGCTGGCTGGGGATTTCAGGGGGTGGTGAGGCACTGGCACAGGCTGTCCAGAGAAGCTGCGGGTGCCCCATCCCCAGAGGTGCTCAGGGACAGGTTGGATGGGGCTTTGGGCAGCTGGTCCATGGGAGATGTCCTGGCTCGTGGCATGGATATGAAATTGGGTGGTCTTTCAGGTCTCTTCCAACCCAAGCCATTCTGTGATGCTGTGACAGCTCTGACTGTGGTCACCTTGCAATGGGGTTGGTTGGGTTTGCTTGTGCTCACGTGATGGCATGAGCACATCATCATGTCATGATGATGATCATTGGGGTTGGTAGTGATGGTGTTAGGCTGGTGGTGACTGCTCTGCAGTGGTGATGGTTGGCTTTGAATGCTGATATGTTGTGATGGTATTGATTGGGGCTGGTTGTGCTGGCACTGCAGCGGTGCCAGTTGGGTTTGGCACTGACCACGCTGTGACAGCAGTGCTCAGGACTGGCCACGACAGTGTTTTGAGTCTGCAATCGGGCTTGACAGCTTCATCAGGCCTCCCTAGCTAACCCTGCGTCATCCCCAGGTTCTGACTACGACTGCTACTCGGTGAACGGCGACGTGGAGTGCGACCCTCAGAGCGACTTCGACAAATCCTCAACCATCCCTCGCAACAGCAACATTGCCCAGAACTACCGCCGTATGATTCAGACCAAGCGGCCCGCCTCCACCGCCGGGTTGCCCAGCGGCACCAACCTGCCGGCCGGCAGCACCCCTGGGGTGGCCACAATCCGCCGCACGCCCTCCACCAAACCCTCGGTCCGTCGCACCCTCTCCAACGCTGGCCCCATCCCCATCCGCCCACCCATCGTCCCCGTCAAGACCCCAACGGTGCCCGATTCGCCCATCTACGCCGGCCCAGCGCGGGTGGGCAGCGAGGAGTGCGTGTTTTACGCCGAGGATGCCTCACCCAACCCAATGGATTTTGCCAAAGCGTCGCCCAAACGCTTGAGCCTCCCCAACGCTGCCTGGGGCGGCGGCGTGGCCGAGATCTCGGTCTACGCTGGCGCGGCGCATCCAATGGCCGCCGATGAAGAGGAGGACCAGCAGTTGGCCGCCAACCGGCACAGCTTGGTGGAGAAGATCGGCGAGCTGGTGGCTGGTGCCCACGCTCTGGGAGAAGGCCAGTTCCCCTTCCCCACCGCGCTGGAGGAGACCCCCGTGCCGCCCCCCGCGCCCGCCATGGACCCTCCGGCCGAAGACATGCTGGTGGCCATCCGGCGCGGCGTGCGCCTGCGCAGGACCGTCACCAACGACAGGTCGGCCCCGCGGATATCGTGATGACGCCCGCGGGGACGCGGGGACGACGGACGACGGGGCGGGCGATGCCGGGACCCCGGGGTGCACGGGACCCCTGGCTGCAGCGGGCACAGCCCCCATGTGTCCTCACACTCGTGATGGCTTTCTGTTGTTCTTTCTCCTCCTCTTTTGCTTCCCTTCCTCCCTTTTTTGATTTCTTCCATTCGTTCGATTGTGCACTCTTTTCTTGCGCTCTTTACCTGTGCTCTCTCCATTCCCTTCTGGCTCTCTTCTCTCCGTCCCTCCCTTTCCATTGTCTCAAAGCTCTCTGCTCTATCCGTCCTTGAGCTCCCTCTCACTCCCTCTATCATCTCTCTCACCTTTTTTTACTCTTTCCTTCTTGCTCTCTATCCCTCCTTCCTCCTTCTCTTCTCCTCCTTCTCTTCTCCTCCTTCTCTTCTCCTCCTTCTCTTCTCCTCCTTCTCTTCTCCTCCTTCTCTTCTCCTCCTTCTCTTCTTCCCTTTTCCCTCTTTCTCATTTTTACTTTTTCTCCCTCCCTTCCTCCCTCCCTTCCTCCCTCTCTTCCTCCCTCTCTTCCTCCCTCTCTTCCTCCCTCTCTTCCTCCCTCTCTTCCTCCCTCCCTTCCTCCCTCCCTTCCTCCCTCCCTTCCTTCTCATTTTCATTCTTTTTCTCCAATTCTTTCTCCCTTTCTCTTTTTTTCTCCTTTTTTTCTTTCTCTGTTTTTCTTCCTCTCTTTTTCTTTCTCCCTTTTCCTCTTTTTTTCCCCCATTTCCCTCTCCTTTTCCCTTTCTGCTTTCTCTTCCTCTCCCTTCCTTCTCCCCCCATCCCATTCCCCAGCTCTCCCATCTCCCATTTCCACCATTCCCTTTCCCCCACCCTTTACCCCCCAGCACAGGACCCCGTCCATCCCCACTGTGGCCGGGACCGGGGCAGGAGCAGCGCCAGGAGCGGGATGTCCCCGCCGTCCCCATGTCCCCATCCCGCACACCTCATTTTGGGGCCGGGGCAGCGGGGGGAGCACAGCCCGTCCTGTCCCCCCCCCCCCCATTGTACATAGCTCACCTGTGTGTCGCATCGCCCGTCCCCACCATAGGAATAACCTAGTCCTCCCCAGCCCCTTATTGTGACCAGAGATACTGATGATGACAAGTGACAAATGTTTGGGGTTGGGGGGGGTGGGGGAGGAAGGGGTTGGGCGGTGGGTGGGGGTCTCCTTCGCATTTTGTACAGAGAAAACAAAAATTCCTTAGGGGGGAAAAAAAAAAAAAAGAGAAAAAAAAAAAAATTGTCTTTTGACCGAAGTAACTTTTCTGGTGCTGTTGTTCATTTGTTCCTTTTTTTTTATTATTTTTTTTTTAATTTATTTCCCCACCCCACTGTGCTCCCGCCTCTGCCGCTGCTTCCCCCTTCCCTCAGCCACGTTTCTTTCTTTCTT